GCATTAATTAAAAAAAAGAAGACATTTGATCTAGAGGTAAAATACAATTACAGAATGTATGTGTATAATAAACTTGACATGCGTAAATGGTGGTAGTATGTTGATAAAAAAGTGGCATTTGCACTTGACGAAACACTCGTTCTATTGCTTGAATGCAAATACATCGATCTAATTTGATGTTCAAACGGTCGCGTATTAACATTAATTGCGCGTAGTATACGTGTACTCTTACCACCAACTGAATTGAACTCGCATAAAAACAAGCCATTGCAAAACAGCACGTGTATCGCACATTTGTGAGGTACGCACGCTAATCCCCGACGAATGTAGGGAAACGACGAGGGACTGTTTGTAAATCTCCCTCTGACAAATCCGCTTATGGTTCCAATTTCGAAGATAACGATTTATCATCACGTGCGCAACGATGACTAGGTAATCATAATGAATTGAGCAATTACGGTAAACGATAAACCCTTATGGCTATTATAAACAGCGTAATAAAACAGCGATCGATCAATTGCAAAAGATATGACCGTTCATTCAGTTCAATTATTAGTTGCAGCATTCGTCTGCGATTGTTATTACCAAAAAGTCGCTAACATCTTCTAAATTATCACTGTAATTGACATTTCACTACCTTGATTGCTCCATGGCCCTAAAGTCGTTAAAGTATTTCTTTTTTCATAAACGTTAAATTTATCACATTTTATTCAGAGCTCTCATCGAAAATTCATAGACGGTAAACGTAGCTCCTGCAGCAGGGATAGTTCTCACGACTACAAAACAAGACATTGTCAGGATCCGAATATCCTTAGCATTTTAATATGAAATCATAAACATTAACTTACTCGTAGGTGAAATTCCTCTCATAAATCCACGTAGACCGTCTTGACGATAAATTGATCTCAAAGTCTTTAAAACATAGAATCTCTCTAGAGGTTTTTCGCTACCCTGTACCTGTTTGCAAAAACAGTTTAACGTTAGTGATCCGTAATAAAAGTACGACAACACATGCAAATAATATTCAAGTTCTCAAAACTCATTATTCGCGCTCTTCCTTGACCCTACCATACTCTTAACGACGTCCAATGGATAACAGCTCAGCCAATAACACACACCACCAACGGCCCCAGCAGCCATTAACTGTCCAACTCCCAATTCTTTCCCATGACTTCCTCCAAACTCCCTCTTCATGTACTCGAATCCGGCATAAAATCCGGCATAAGCCGGAATTTCTCGCAAAAAAGTTGCCCAAAATCCACGAAATAGACCATGGCGAATACCATGGGTTGAGACCAAGTGCGATGCGAGTTCGACCGGACCTTTGTATTGTTTCAGTGTCGGTGGAGCCGAAGCGGACAGAGGAGTATATTGCGCTTGAAGACGCACTTTTAAAAGTTCAACAGGTGACGCCAAGACTGAATTGACCGCTCCTAAAGACGGATCAGAAAAAGTATAAATGGATCTAGGCGGGGAAATACAGAACGGGAGGCAAACGGTGATGATTGTAATGAGCTTGAGATTAAAAAAAGGCAATTACCCGCTCCTGCGCCAGCGAGTGCAATCTGCCAGATCTCCAGCTCGTCGTTGAAGGGATTCTGAATCTGTTTAAACTTTGAGTACGCGGCAAACAGTAAAGCATTCACTGCTCCTATCCCAATTAATGGACTCGCCATACCTGAATTGATTGATACGGGGTTAGTATGTCGCTAGTATTTCGCAATTATGCAGAGAGGGGTTAACATCAAACGTCGGGATAAGTACCTTTATATAAGGCGAAAATGCTCTCTTCTCGAACGGTTCTCACAATGCAGTCGAATGGATTTTTATATCGATGTGGATACACTTGCATTCTTACCTGTTGTAAAAGATTACATAACCGTGTTTAGCCAAACGCATTTATGTTACGGAAAGCAGTGCCAATAATTTATTTTCTTCCGACTCACTTTAACGGTATCTAAAGGTTGTCCAGTCGCCACTTGTGCCTATGCAAAAAAAGATCGATTGAAATTGTAAATGGAACATAATTCCCTAAAACAAAAAAAAAAGATTCCAAAATATTTCTTTCCACTACCGTCTCAAACTCACCATTCCAGCAAAACTACAACCCCAACCCCAATTTACCAAAAATTCCCCCCAATTGATTAAAAAAATAACCAATTTTTGCTCTCAATTAACAAATCCCTCTCTTTTAAATCCATTTTTTTAATAGTTTGATCAAACATTATTATCAAACCTGCCAGCTACGAAATCTCGCCATCCGCTTTGTGATGGTTTTGGCGTTAAGGTTTGCAGTTCGGACATCTTTGGTCGTTATAGAGTAATGAAGAGTGAAAATGCGAATAAATTGTTCGGAGAAACCTTGAAACCATGTGTGTAGTAGTTATATCAATTTCTTGTGGTACATTTCGGAAATAATCTTTTTTGCCCAAACTCCGGACGCATCTGATTTGAGAATCTATATCAACCGTCACGTGAGAACCATTGTCACGTAATTAGCAGGCATATAAAGAGGTATACTGTAATTATACGAACAACGTACACTCGTACCCCGTTTATATCTCTCCTTTGTTTCGTCTCAAAGTGGGGATATAAACGGGTTGGAGTTATAAGTGTACAATGTATCTTATCGTCTAAGGATATTTGTTTTCATAAACGTTGGGGATGTAACCGGGGATGAGATATAACTGGGTAGGAATATAAACGGGGAATAATAAAGCTAGATTAGTTTTTAGAATGAAAATGGTGAGGCATAGTGTATGCGTCGTAAATAAAGTTTGTAGAATCATGAAATTCTCTGTCGAAACGGTTTCTTCCCCTACTTATAATTGTCAGTGCAGAGATCATGTGATAAATTATTTTAATTATGTTAATATTGTTATGCCATCAAATTATACAATCAATGGCTTAACTATTTTTTTTCTGGTTATTCCTATTAAAGTTTCAAAATAAAACTTTTTTAGCCATCAAAATGTGTGCGTTGATAGACGTGTACAGTATGTCATTTTCTCTGCCATAACACGGGTGATAACATCCCTGGGTCACTTATAAATGAATACCCCAAAAGACCAGTACTCCTACATTACTCAAATTCGCATCCTGCATCTTGATGATGATATCTTACAGTTGACATGTTTATTAATGATTCATTACGTCCCGCCTTCACTACCTTCAACAACCGAAACAGTACAGAGTCTAAACACACTCGATTAAAATGGAAATCGGCAATTATAGAGTTTTCTTCCAACACTAGCAATACTAGCCACATCCTACTCCGTTTTGAATTTTAGGTTCTTCACCCCAACCGTCTTCGTCGACATGCGCCGCCCAACTTTGAATCTCCACTCCACCCTGTTGTAATATAGCTTCTGCCTCTCGTAACAGCTCCGTTTCCGAAATATCCTCAGGCTCGACATAACTGTCTGATGAAGGTGAAGGGGCTGTAAGCCTTTGATGGAAGTAAGAGAAGGTCTCGGATTCGCAAGTTCTGAGGAGATATTCTATTAAATCGTCTCCTGCATTAATGAGGTGAGGATGAGATGGGAAACAGGTTTCAGTACGCAAAGTTGTAATTGTCATATTCAAAAAAATGAGTTGGAAGAATGATCTCACTGGTTATTTACCGCCTGAGTAATTAACGCATCCAAAGCGTGGGTCGATCACCTCTTCACCGAGTTTCTTATCAGACACAACCCAGTTTCTACAATGCTATCAAAGACAGAGTCATGTCAGCACTCTTAAAAAGTCACGTGTATGCAATAGTAGCATGGGTCTCCGGCAGCTTACATACCTCTCGAATCCAATTCTTGACTTTATATGATTTAACCGCATCGATCGAGTGGGTGCTCGAGGTAAAGTCTACCGCTTTTACTCTGTCTTTTAATTCCGAGACTACGAAACAAGCCAAGTTTTAGTATAAATTAATAACGACGAATCAAAATCTGTAAAAATCCTCAAACAATATACATACAATGCTTCTGCATGACCTCTACAAAACTATAACCACCGTAACTGTTTGCAACGACGAATATATTCTGGGCAGCTGAGGGGCTGGAAAATCGCGCGCCAATACGCGTGTGAAAAAATATACCAAATCTACGGCCATACGCCCGTGCGAGAAAGAAAAAGGAGAGTCGACGTACATTACAAAGTGCCGAAATACGTAATCAACGTGGACTTCTGGCGAATCATTTTCTTGTTAGATCAAATAAAAAGTAATTAAAGTTGTTAGCCGCATGGAACATACACGTGTCAAGCAAAATAGCGAGGTTCAACAACTCACCTGGAACCGTGACATAAGGAGTTTTAGCTTTTGTGATGTTTGCCTATCCATTATCAAAGGAGAGGAGGGGGACAATTTCCCATTGCATGAGCATAAATATACGAAATTCAGTTGAATTTGATCTTTCCCCGCTCTATAAAGCTACTTGCCGTTGGTTTATTCTTATGCCAGTATATCTCGTTGGGATTAGTAACGACGACAGAAAACCCCATATTCATCGCGCGCTCGGTGTATGAAAGCACAGATCCGTCCTAAGAAACAAAACAAAAAATTTTACAACGGCATTTTGGTTATAATCGAGTAATTAGGAAACTGTGATTAATCATCCCCTACTTTGACACCGTGTTCCGTCATAGATCGTTTAGCCCATATTCCAAATCTTGGAGAACAAAAGACGAGTTAGTTTTATCTACGTAAATGAGCGTATGTAACCCAAGAAAACTAGTAACTTGTCAATTAATTACTTGTTGGAAAGTCCTGGTATGAATACGATCATGCTCTCTTTGGTCAGGTAATCTGAGCTAAATGAAACACATGGTTAATCTTCATCTGATGAGAATGCCTGCAACTACATACCTTTCGAATATGATACCTGACGTATATTTTAGTATGCACGGCTTCTTCCGACGTTCCGATCGGTAGGATCATCTTGACCATGTTATACTTTGATCGCAGTTGCTCTTCCACGTATTCGCTCACGAGCTCTATGATGTATACGAAACGGACTTAGTATATGAGCCGAACAAAGCAGCCTCCTCTTTGCACTGCTCGTCAGGTAAATCAAGGCGCAAAACTAACCGACTAATTTGTCGTATAGAGCTTCATTATATGCTCTATCCTTTACTTCGAATACGTACAGTTCGCCTATACTTAAGAGCTATTAGTATATGTCGATGGACCTTATCATGATTTATGTAACTAACCGTTTATCGTTCTTAATCGTTGCTCTTCATCATCGATCTTATAACCTAGAGCATTAAGGTCGTGAGGAAATTCAGGTCTTTCCCGCTTGCTCTTTTTCTTTCTAAACATTGTCTTTTTCTACAAAACGTTTCTGATCGATTTTTACAGATCGAGGAAATTTATTTCAATTGCAGATCACCCACAAGATTATTTCCTAAATGTGGAAGAGAGTGGAGAAACGTCCTTTTTTGAGTTGTGCAACCTGATTGCATTTTGAACTAAAGTATGTAGATCGCGAGGAACTTTTATTCACAACAAGGTGCTCGCTAAAGCCCAGTTTAAGCTGTTAAAACTAAAGTAGCTGAAAAGCGAGTCAGTGGGCCGTTTCTGTATTAAATAAATTGTCCCGACTATATTGAGCATAAGCTGGGGAAACTTGAACTCTCAATCAAGACGTTCCTTCAAAAATGTCAAATTACAAATTAGTTGTATTTTGAGCTTTAATCAATGTTGCTATCAATGCAATAATAATAAGCAATTCTGAACGTCTAGCGCGGCCAAATTTGTTATGAGCTCAATATTGATTACTTTGTCTGTTATTAAAAAGTCAAAGAATAGAAGGATCGTGACTAAACAACAGAATGAGTAATAAGTATATGTACTGAATTTGTATAAAATTCGAAATTTAAAAAAATAATAATAACAATAATAAATTTTGTCTCACAATCTTTCAATTATCGAGTTTTGCCTTTAGTGACAGGAAGGTAATAAAAGATAACGACATTTGAATACACGCTTTTTTATTTCCAAACTATAAAAAAATAGAATGATAATGTTCGATTTCCGAGAGTTTAATCACTTGCGATAGAGTATTTAATTATCATTCGCGAACCCCAATTGTTTATTCGAATTGGTTTTTCCTAAAAAGCCAACTATGTAATAGGTAACAAATTTCCTACTCAGCTTTAAATGTTGACATATGAATGTACAGACAGCATAATATAGAAGTAGATAATTGATATGTTAATTAAATGCAATTTGAATAAGAATAAAGACGGGCATACCTACGCCATATGATAACAGTTCATCAATTATCAACTTACAAATGTCCCCAATATTGTCTGAGACTCCTGAACTGCGATTATTTTTGCTCAATCAATCAATGTAACAATAATGAGTGCAATATTATATAGTGCTCGTTCTTAGGACACTGTCTGCACAGAAACTGTCCACAAGTAAGACAACCCCTTTTACAGAAAACGAATAGCCAGATGTAAAGTTTCCTTATTTTATTTCTACCTAAGCATTGTTGCTAGAGCTGTTGCCAGATCTAGGTAGAGTATATCAGATATAGCCTTTCTCTGTTTATTTTTCTCAATTAAGTCTACTGAAATTAACACAATGTTGATATGGAGATTATAGATTTCATTAATGATTTTAATAATAGCGAAAAGGAAGCATTCAACCAATATTAAAGTAATCAAAATTAGCCTATGTAGTATACAAATTCATTCATTTTCGTCAACGTATTCATCCTAAATGAGCAAAAATAAATTGTATTAGTCTAATGTAGGGCTCGACCCCCTCTCTTTCCGAGTTAAAGGCAAAAATTAATATATGCTCAACATGAACCCCCTGTACATACTCTCGGTTCCGTTGGTTCCTGATCTTCCCCGAATTGCGTTGCATTATCAATATGAGATAGTATTGAAGCGACCGAATCCTCATCCTGAATGTTCAATGGTAGGAAACTGACCATATTATAGTCATCAACCTACAAAAAATAATGCATAAGCACTCCTAATCGAAATTAAGGCCCCAAGTGACCATTTCATCGGGAATAGCTCATACCAATTGTGCGATAGCTTCATTTAGGCTATGATATCTGGAGTTCGTATTTCTATTTACTTCTTCGAGAAGAAGCAAGGGGTCTGGATCAAAATATCTGCAAGAAAATTAAAAGTGGAACTTAATGATACAGCTTCCCAATCAGGCAGTCATCAATCCACATCCCCCTATTTTCTACCTAAGCACCGCAATCTTGCATCTCTCAAATAATTCATATCAACCAGTATATCCTTACCTCTCCATTATTTGCTTACTCGCGTCGTCACCCAGCAGATCCATCTTACTCATAACATTAATATGCGGTATTTCCAGACTAATCATAGCCGACATAGCGCTAAGTACCCCAGCAAAGAACTTTGACTTATCTTCTATGAACTGACTCTCCAATAAATATACTCCACAAAGACGAAAGTTCATCCTCTGCAAACACTCGCACAAGCGACGTATTATAGGGAAATGAGTATATAATTCGATCTGCCCAGGACAGTCGATTATGAGATAATCATCATAGTATTCACCGAGTTCGTCTTCAAGCCAATCTATATTGTTAAGAAGAAACTCTAAGCAGTAAATTAGACCACCGTTTGGACCATAATGAAGCTCATCCATTACATCTTCAAGTGTTATAAGTTCACGAATATCTTGGTACATCGTCAAAGATAGAAATCAGATCAATGTATTTGCCAATCAGAACATGCAAACGAAAGCCTGATTGAGATAACGAGTGCTACCTATCGATGGCTCATATTCAAAACGTTCGGCGGCAGGATCAAGATTAAAAAGGTGGACTGAGCGCTTTATAGTCTGACAATGCGTCATCATCGTCGTGCAATAAGTTGACTATGGATAGAAAACGAATAATTAGAGATAGAGTCAAATAACTTTTAGAAATATTACGATTGTTACCTTCCCAGTTCCTGCTGGTCCCATCACAAGTTGTGCAGTTCGACCCCTATCAAAAGACTACATTAATACCGGCGCATCAAACGTCGTTCACATAATCGACGAGTACTTACATTGTATTTATTGTGCGAGTGAATTGAAGGCGAGGTAAATTTTATCATTGCTACAGTTTGTGCCACAATCGCACGTGATGCAAATCACGGGCCATAGATTAGGATTTCGCAGGCGCCAGGATGAAACAAGAATGGTTACAAATTTCTTGAAAAATTGCTCATGTTCTTTTTCAGCTGAAATGACGGCTTCGCGGCCCGCTGCCGTACGGCAGGCGCCGCTTTATAATATTATTATATTATTCGTTCTAGCCTTTGACTAGTTTCGAGATTGTCTCCTTACTATAATAATATAATTCCTTGTACCAATACATCAAAATATTTGACAAAATCCTAGAATGGGTATCGTAATGGCTAATTAAATTATGGGGTACGTCGGTATGTTCCATGTTCTTATCATAGAAGAGCTGTGATTCGTAAGAAAGTTGTACATATTATTAATTTGTTTACTGATAACTCGTGTTACATCATTTAATTCTAACCACCAGTTATTTCTCCCGCTTACATTCTATTTTAAAGAATTTAACTTCGACTTCATGTCTCAAACACACTGGATTATTATTATTATCTGGCTCTTTTCAGCGAGCATTCATATTGTCAACTTTTATACGTAAAATATTCATAAACGGGTGTATTGTATTACGTATTACAAATATATGTACGAGTGTAATTGTTACATTTCCTTCATTTAAGCGTTTTCCCCAATGTCTCAAGGTCAATCGCTAAACGATATATATGAAGAGTGGTTAGATAAGAGCAACCGGGAAGGCTTTATCAAACATTATTCGGAAGATAATATCATAATGAACGATAAGCCTATCGTAATCGGTCATGGTGGATTTGGTATCGTATACAAGGCCAAAATAAAACATTCTGGAAAACTGATCGCAATGAAAGCTTTGTTGCTAAATAGACATAGAGATGAAGAATTATATAAAGACTTTGTCAAAGAGGTTGTCAATCCGTTACCTATGTTTTAATTATTGCGTAATATGCTTGAAGCCGTATTAACTGAATTATTTTACAACCCAAAACATAATAATAGCTAAGAACTCATAAACAGGTGGATGATCATCCCAACATTATTCGATTCTTAGGAATATCAGGTTTAATTAGCGTTAGATGCTCGGTCGTCTGTATATAATTGATTATTATTCTTCTTATTATTAACACATTCTACTTTATAACATTTAAACAGATTTATCTGGTCGCTATTATATGGTGTTTGAATATGCAGATGGTGGAACTTTGCATGATCACTTGCAGAAACACTTCCCTGAGTTGACATGGAATGACAAATACAGACTGGCTTTGGGGATTACTGATGGGCTTTTGTATTTACATAGCCTTGAAATTATTCACAAAGACCTGGTATGTGCTGATGATACATGACAATAACATTTTTTGCATGTAGTATATTGTATGTATTAGTATATTAATACAATTATTATATTATATAGTCATCACGAAATATTCTTATCCAAGACGGCGTTACAAAAATAACAGACTTTGGATTGTCCAGTGCTCTCAAACAGACTAAGTCCACATCAGTATCAAGATGTGAAGGAGATATGGCATATATTGATCCATTATCTCTTAAAGAAGAAACCTGTAAACGTGGGAAACAATCAGATATCTTCAGTCTGGGAGTGATACTTTGGGAGATTTCAAGTGGGAAAACGCCATGTGAAGGGATTACCAAAATTAAAGAGATATTTTTATACAGGTTGAGAGGTTCACGTGATTTGCCTATTCCAGGAACATCTGAATGGTATATTGATCTATATTCCAAATGCTGGGATGAAGACCCTAATGAACGTCCATCCATTCAAACAGTTAATAAGCTGCTCAAGTCATTTATTGCCCAATTACCAAATTACACATTAGACTTGAGTGATTGTCAAATTGGAAATGAAGAAGTGACAGTTTTAGCAAAAGCTGTTGAATTAAATTTTTCTGTCTATTCTTTATATTTAATTTGTAATAAGCTTACACATGCAAGAGCAATAACTGCTTTGGAAAAGACATTAACAAAGTTTTTATCAGTGATGTCTCTAAATCTTCAGTCTAATCAGATAGGGGATATAGGAGCAACAGCTTTGGCAGAGGCTCTGGAATCAAATATTTCTCTAATATCTCTAAACCTTCAGAGCAATCAAATAAGAGATTCAGGAGTAAAAGCTTTAGCAAAGGCTCTGAAATCAAATTCTTTTTTAGCATTTTTAAATCTTCAGAACAATCAGATAAAAGATGCAGGAGCAGCAGCTTTAGCAGAAGTTCTGGAATCAAAAAATTTTTTAACAAATCTAAATCTTCAGTATAATCAGATTGGAGATACAGGAGCAATGACTTTGGCAAAGGCTCTGAAATTGAATTCTACTTTAACATTATTAAATCTTCAGGGTAATCAAATAAGACATGCAGGAGCAACAGCTTTGGCAAAGGCTCTAAAGTTGAATTCTACTTTAACATTTTTAAATCTTCAGAGTAATTTGATAGGAATTACAGGAGCAACAGCTTTAGCAAAAGCTTTGAAACAGAATAGGAAGTCTTCTTTAACATGTCTAAATCTTTATGGTAATCAGATAAAAGATGCAGGAGCAGTAGCTTTGGCAACAGCTCTAGAATCAAACTCATCCTTAAAATCTTTACATCTTGAATGGTATCAGATCATAGGAGATACAGGAGCAATGGCTTTGGCAAAGGCTCTGAAATCAAATTCATCCTTAACTTCTCTACATCTTGATTGGAATCAGATAGGAGATGCAGGAGCAACAGCTTTGGCAGAGGCTCTGGAATCAAATTCATCTTTGACTTCTTTACATCTACGACAGAATAATATTGGAAACATAGGAGCAGAAGCTTTGGTAACAGCTCTGAAATCAAAAATTTCTTTAAAATATCTGAATCTTGAATGGAATTATTATTATATAGAAAGCACAGAAGCAACAGCTTTGGCAAGGGCTCTGGAATTAAACTTTCAGAAATCTCTACACCTTGATTAGAATAGGATGCAACAGGTGTAGCCTTGGATAAAATTCTTCTTTAAACCTTCAGGGTAATCAGATAGAAATGTAGCAGCAGCATTGGAATCAAACTTATCAGATTTCTAAATCAATCAGTATCAGCTCAAATATTCTGTAATCAAAATTGATTCAATATCAACATTGGTGAAAACATACCTTGGAAAAATTTTGATGCTATAGGCTAGTGTTATTGTCAAGCTATTATGTAGCCACCATGTTTGTGTTATAAATATAATTACCAGTACTATTACTGGTGCCAGTTAGTTAATGGCATCTGAACTTTAGTTTAACCTTTTCTGTGAAATTGTTTATTATTATACTATAAAGCAGATATAAACACAATAACTTTGTATCATTATTTTTGTTAATTTTATTAAACTATTTGCAATCTGTTTGTATATCAACATGTTGTTTTCACATTTTTGTTTATCTCCTATCTTCCTTTACTTTTAGATGTTATTCTGATATAGGCATAGCTATTCCTGTGCACTGTAGGAATTAGAGTTAGAAGCCAATGGTTTTAAATCACAAGCATCCTCTTGATTTTAGTACAATAACAAAATAGAATTTAGAATAGGTGTGGTGACATGCTTTTCCATGGCATTTTAAATAGGGTATGCTGCAACAAAACCAAACAAAGTAACATTTGACATAGTGAACCAAAATGGCTAATACTAATGTATTATGACGGAAACAATTGCATTGTTAATCAAACAGTTATTGATACAAAATGAACAAAGGCATCATTATCATCCTCCCCAAAAAGTTTATCAATATGCTATTTTTCTATTTGGTAGCTTATCTAACTGATTAATTTGCATCAGCACCCGCTTATTCCGAATGTTAAAGGACAGTATGTTGGCACGAACGTCGTAGTGACCAAGACTTTGCAACGTAGTTTATATTTTGTAAAATGTAAAAAGCTAGATAACCTTTATCAGCTCAACCAGTCTAACATCGAATTGCGAAAAATAATTAACATTATACTGTAGGTATTTAATCAGTGATTGAAACATCTAATATTCTAACGCTATTGTTAAGAAGTGACAAACTCCCTGCGCTCATCAAAGTGTTCCAAGGTCCAACATGCGAATTCCTTTTACAGCTGCAACTTTAACTAACAAATCCCTATTACTGGCGTCGAAAAATTCTGCGTCTTCTCTCCTGGCTGCTAATATATGATCCATCATAACATCTATATCCAATAATTCAAAAGGCTTGCCTAATTCATCAATTGGAGAACATCCACTTTTGTGAGATATAATACGTACTTAATGACATACCCTAATACTTTATTGCAACTAAAATAATAAAATGTGAAATTGTTCATAGGTAAAATTGTTATAAAATTCCTGGAGAATACGAAAAACCCGCCATCTTGTAAGAAGGAAATTTGTATGTATTTTTACCCCGCTTAGAATCAAACCCAAGCCCCCGATTGTGTTTTTTCCATAATGCCCCTTTCTCTTTTGCATAGATAATAATAATATAATTCATAGCATAGTCCGCATCCAGACTTCATAAGCGAAGGTGTTTCTAAGTTG